TGAAAGAGGCATTTATATACCAAGCTGGTAGATCATTTGGCAAAAAACAATTAAGGAAAAAAATCAAGGAAGTTGGTCTCGAGAGAGACAACCCTCTACCTCTGTTTCTACCTCACAGCCCACACAAGCATCTGGTTTACATGGTCATTCCTTTTAAGGAGAAAGGGAAATAGAACTTTCCCCCCATTAATCAAAAAAAAAGTTAAGGTCATGCGTGCTCACTATAAAAAAACAGACAGCAAATGAAAATCGAGAGTCCGTTTCACCCTCCTTCATTTATTTCTAGTACAGAGTTTAGAAGTTGATCAATCGATGAGAAAGCACATTAGTTAGAAGTCACTATGTTATCATATCCTATCTTTTAGTTTCAGATTTAGCCTTTATTTAGATGATTCTTCCCCATTACTGTTTTTCTTGTTGTCGTCTTTAACTTTTATCCGTTTTTTTTCCTCCCTAGTTTATTCCCATGCCTGTGCTCTACGGTGTGTTCCTGTATATGGGGGTGGCATCACTGAACGGCGTGCAGGTGAGTTTTCCGTAGCAATGCAAATGCGGTAGTGAGAATATTCCAGCAATAAATCTTTGAAGTACTAATTATTAACTGCTGAGATTTGGAAATGCATTTATTTTCTACTCTCTCCACCATTCACGTGCTTTTCATTTCTGATTTAGTCAACATCGTCAGCTGGTGTTAACAAATACTCATATTTGTTATCATGCAGACCCATTCTTGAAATAGGCTGTTGAAAGTTATTTGACCAGGAAAGTGAGAGAGCTATAATCTTTTCTTTTTTATATTCATTTATTTCTGTTTCTTTCTATAATCTTTATCTATTGGTCTCAAGAAGGACATCTGACTCTACTAGTGTGCTCTTCAACATAGTATTTGTCCTTAACCCCGCAACAAACAGGCTATTCTTGTTCGATTTGTTTTTCACGTGGCTGAGATCAATGATCAAAACTTTTGCACCAATAAAAGAATAAAACCAATATGGTTTAATGTGCTGCTTTTGTTGAAAACTTCATCTACTCACAACTTTGGTAAAACTAACCCCATTTTAAAAAAAATCATTAGGGAAAAACTTTTCAAGCGACTTTGTCTTTCAATTGAGGTTTAATTTAATTGGCACCAGGAAACTGGAAGTACTTATTCTGCTTTCTGGCACCTTGTTAATTGTAGCCTTATTTAGCGCTTAGTAATGTTTTACTGGGAAAAGACTGCATGTTCTGTGAACATCATAAGAATTTATTTGAATCCCTTCAAAATAGTCCTTGTTTTCACTTATTGAATTTAGATGAATTTGATTTTAGAGTCAGATAGAGCTGGGCAAGTGGTGAGACCCCTAAAAAGAAAAAAGGCTACTTTACTTTTCTCTGTTTGGGTCCATTGTGTAGAGTTTTTCACCATTTGGATATTTGTTACAAAATATAAGGCAGTTCCTCGCAGAGCGGACTAGGCGAATGTGAATGTGGATTTCTTTGTGCCAATGCAACTTTTGGCAATTATACATTTGATTCACCTAAATGGCAAAATATGAAACCAATGTGGTCCCCACACTAATAGATTTTATTTTTGTTTGCCCTTTAACGACCTGATCTAGATCAGACGTTTGATTCTATCTGTTTTAGGGGCTTTGTTGGTTGGAATTCAGTCCATGTTTATTAAATTAAAAAGAAGAAAAAAAGCAACCACATCACGATGATGGGGAAAAACAGCTGTGCTGAGGGGACAGTTAGTGGATTTCTTAAATTCTGTGATGCGATTGCCCC